TAACTCTTTTTCTCAGGTGTTGCAAAGAGGATTTGTTTTGTAAATAGAGAAGCTGTTAATTGCCTTGACTTTATTAAGAGGGAGCCGAAAAGGTGTTAACAAGTTTCTGTTGCTCTGTGCTGGCGATGAGCCACCGCCAGTCGCTCTGCAGGGGGAAGGTGGCAAAGTGGCTTTGAAAGTACCTTTGCTCTCTAAAGAAAAAAGAAATAGGCACCGCTTTAGCCCAAAGACTTGGGGGAACACCTGAATTTTGTAGGAGGGATTTGACTTGAATTACCACACGGTTCAGTTCCGGGGGACTCGCTTTCTGTCGAGCAATGTGCACTGGAGAGTTCCCGCGGCAGCACAGCTGGGAAAGTCTGAGCTGAAAAGGCTTTAAAGGTTGTTTCTCCCTCTGCTTCTCTCTAGGCACACGCACCCAAATCCTCTCATCTTTCCCTGAAAATCCCTGTCAATAAATCCCGCAGAAGGCATCACACAGATGCTTTTCCATCCTCCTCTCTGGGACTGGCACTAGCAGCAGCCAAGCAGGGGCTGCTTAAGGTCCCTTTAACTTTGTCATGCTAAGGGTTGGTTTTGCAAGTCGAAAAGGACCTGTGACTTGTTTTTTAAGACTTTGGGGAATTGCCGGCACTCACTGGCTTCACTGCACCAGATGCGGCGTGACCGGGAATCTGCGCTGCATATGAAAAGGTCGCTTGCCCTGCTCAAGAGAGGAGATTCTAACACTTGTCAGCTTGAGTGATGGAGGCTCTGCATGGAGAGCCATAATATTCATGTCAGAGAATTGCCAAGCCCGTGCGGAAGTGCTGAAGATGGATGGCCTGGGGATGTGCTCCTGACACTTTAATACGGGGGGAGGATACAGCACAAACATCTCATGCAGAATTATAATCCATGAAAGGGCACTGGCGGCATAAATTAAAGGTAATCCAGCAGGGAGGGAGTTTAACAGCTGAAGGGATGCAGGCTGGGGGAAAGGAGGGATGCTGGTGGGGTGCAATGGGGGCTGTGGTGGGGCTCTGGGGGGAGGGAGCAGCCCCCAGCTCCAGGGGTGGGAGCGCTGACCTGAAATCCATCCACCTCCAAACTGTGCTGTAAAGATGATCTCCAGAGCCTGCACTTTGTGAATTAAATAAATTCGATTCTGTGTTTGCAGGTGGTTGTCGTGCAGCACCAGGGCCTGTTGAGGAGAGAGGGACTGGGGCAGGTACCTCAACCTACGAACACAAGTCCCTGTCCCTGCCAGCCTGGCAGGAGAGGCTGCAGAGGCACCCGGGGGTGATGATGGCGTGAATTCCTTGTCACAGCCACCCCTGCACTCTCTTCTAGGAGAGGGAGCAAAAGCAAGAGCACAGACCCAGTTTCTGAGCTGGGTGCCATCCCCAGCCCGTACCAGTGGCACGGTGGGTGTGCCAGACAGGCACAGCACCAGCCCCGCTCCCTGTGCCAGGGCTGCCCCAGGACTGTCCCTCCCTGCCATCAGCAGGCTGGGCACACCTGAGCTCCACCTCCCTCCACGCAGGGATGGAGGGGACCCCAGCCAAGGCCCCGTGTGGAGTTGTGCCCGTGCTCCTGGCTGAAGGGGAATTGGGCTGTGAGGGCATTTCCACATGCTGGGAAGGAGAAACAAGAAGAAATCTGGTGGTTGCTGTTCCTGGTGAGGGGGCTGGGATGGGCACCTGGACAGCAGCATGGCATGGCCAGGACTGGTCAGACTGTGGCAGTGATGGTCCTAGGTGAGGTGGGAGGACTGGGGAAGCTTGTTGACTTTGGGTGGCCATGAGCAAACCCATGCAGGTTTGAAGCCATCACCAGTCCCTGCAAATGCTCTTTGGCTGCAGTTGGAGAATGAGCCTTTACAAGGCAGTGCTGACAGGTCTGTGCTCTGCTGTGTGTGCTGGTGTTTGTTTGGAGAACTGCTCTGCAGGAGTTTGCTGCCCAGGTAGAATCACAGCTGCAAGGATGAGCTCAGCCTGATGGATGAGGCCCCGTGGCAGCCTCAGGGTTTGTCACCCTGTGCCCCCCGTGCCCCTGGCACTTCTGTGTGGTTATTACAGAAACCACAGCAGTGGGCAGGGGTGTCGGGGTTCCCTGACAGTGCCATGATGGATTAAGATGATCCTGAATTTCCATTGTTTCGTACTGAATGTAGTGAGAATTGATGACTGTTGTATCCAAGCAACAAGGGGGAGGATGAGGGAGCTTCAGCTTCTCCAGCACTGTAATATCCCTGGCAAGGTGCCACTCTAAGCCATAAGAGTAGATTTTTGTATTTGCTCAGTCTCAGTGTTGTCTCTGCAAGGTATAAAAAGAGAATGGAAATTGTTGTCATGGGATGGTACGTAACTTTCGCTCCAGTTTGCTTCAATTTGCAGTCGGTCTCTGCCTTTTGTGTAGGATACACTCACTGCCTCAGAGAGCCTGGGTGCCAGAAATTTAAATGGATTTTAAAAAGCAATTAGACAAATTCAAAGAAGAACAGTTTGTCTCCAGCATTTAAATGCAGCGTGGTGGATAGGAATGCTGGCTTGGCAAGGGCCTGGCTGTGGGTCAGTGGGAAGGGGAGGGCTCATTGGGAAAAGGATTGGTCTTGGCAGGGGTATCTCTATCCCTCTCTGCAGCCCTGTTTCCATGGGATGGAGCCCGTGTGGGACAGAGATCTGGTCTGGTGCTATGAGCACCTGCAAACCTGGTAAGATGACACACAGCAAATCCTGACCATTCCTGCTCTGGGGGAGCCCTCATCTCCCAGGATTTACCTGTGTGGTTTATTAACCCAGCTGTCTGTGTACAGCAACAAGGATTTTATGTGGGCTTGGGAGTTATCCAGGTGAGAGAGTTTCCCTCCTCTGAGTGCACACCAGCAAAAACTGTCCTGTGCTCTGTGTAACCTCATTTTGTGGGATTTTGGTGGCATCCTGTGCCTGCAGCTCCTGGGGCTGTGGAGCACAGTACAAGCAAATACAACAGGTATTACAAAAGGAGAGTCTGGGGGTTTTTTGTGCAAAGTCAGCCAATGCTCAAGATGCAGGAAAGGGGCTTTGTTTGTCTTTATCATTGTCAGTTCAGCCTAAATTCTGTTGGGTTGCAGCTGCTTTTGTGGCAACACTGCAAAAGTCTTGGGGTTTTTGCTTTGGTGGGGCGGCCTGTTAGTTATGGAAATTTTAGAAACAGCTACTCTGAAGGCAGCAAAAAACCCCCCCCAGCCCATGGCATCACCCTTCCAGCTTTAGTAAGACCCTCTTTGCATGAAATAAAGGCATGGAAGTCATCTGTGCTTCCCAACTGTGCGCTTTGCACCTTGAGCTCCGTGATCCGGCTCTCCTGCGTGCCCAGGCTGTGTTTGCACGAGGAGCCACAGGGAGACCTGGATAAAATAGCAGCAAAGCATCTGTGGTGTGGGCGCAGCGTGCTGGCAGAGCTGCAGGGTGGTTTTTTCACTTGTCTCCTCCTCCTCCTCCTCCCCCTGTCTGGAGAGCAAACCTGGTGGAGCATCCTCAGCCCTGCATCCTGGGTGTGGGTGATGGCACAGCTCTGGCTCCCTCCGGAGCAGGACCTGCCCTGGGACAGCAGCAGCCAGCGCTGTCCCCTCCTGCCCTCCCTGCCCTTTTCCAGGGCTGTTGGCACCCGGAGCAGCAGGGAACCAGCAGACACATTCACAACTGTCCCCAAGTTTTCTCTCCTGCCCAGGTTCAAAGGGTTCCTCTCCTGCCTCCAAGAAATTTGCAGTGAGTGCCGATGTTGGTGCTTTCCACATCAAAGCGGGGCAGCCTCTCATTGTCTGGGGGATGTCGGGTCGAGGCAAATTAAAGAGGCTTTGGGAGCTTCAGAATCAGCTTTAGCCAGGCCATGCCTGCATACTCAGCACTTGGGGAGGGTGAGATTGTGGTGATAGGTACTAAAGCCAACCCTCCAGGGACTGGAGGCTGGAGCCAACTTGTCGAGATTTAGGAGGGCAGCCTTCTCCCTGGGCTCGGTGGCTTTTGGATTAATCAGGAGGAATTCGTGGAAGTGCTGGGTTTCACACAGAAAGGGACAATTTTTCACCCAAATCTGCACCCATACTGCTAGGAAGCCAGAAAGGAAAAAGACAGTTCTTTTCATTGTGGTGTTTATTGCAAAATGCAGTCCAAAGTCTAACTCTTAAGGGCTACCTTCAAATTATATATAGTGAAAACAGATTGTGCTAAGTAATAATACAACTTATTAATAAACAACATTCAGGCATAAAGAATTCAGAATTCTTAGCTGCTAATTTTTTAAAAAAGTATAGGAGCTGTAAACTGCTTAATTTCATCCAGTACAAATACACGAAACTACTGTCTATTGGGGGTAGGGCTTCTTGTGCCAAAATACAAAATTCAAAGAGGAGGAAGGGGAATAAAAAAGGAGGGGGAGGGAAATCTGTAAACACTGGCTGTAAACTTATCAAAGCCCTCAAACGGCTGCAGTTGTGGTAACGCACACCACGGCACTGCCAAACCTCCTCTCACATCAGAAAGTGCATAAGTTTTCCTCTAGAAATGCTGCTGAGCAGCCTCTGTGCATGAAAGGGCCGGGACCCCGGGGGTTATCCCAGCTGTGGGACCTGGGGCTGCTGGGATGGGATGGGATCACCCAGCTGGACACACTTTTGGCCCCAGCTCCCATTCCCACCTCTCTGGCTGCGGGGCTGGAGCCCCACTGCTGGCATTGGCAGACCCGCTGGCAGGGGCACAAGGGGTTGGGCCCACCTAAAACGTGAAACTCTTCCCTCTGTCTGACACACAGATAAAGTGACTCCCAAGGGGAAAGAAGCTACCGGTAAATATTGTGGAAAAAACGTGGAAGGACCGTGGCCCCTCAGCGCCCGCGCCTTGTGCTTCCCCATCTCGCTGTGCCCATCCACAGGAGGCCCATCCCCTGGCACGGTGCCCGCTGAGCCCTGCGGACCCCAGGACGCTCCTTCCCCAGCGTGAGGGCCCCAAAGCGTCCCCCTGGGGCTCCGTGGCCGCCCCTTATCTCCCGTGGCCCCTGTTCCTCTGCCTGATGTGGTTGGGGGCGGCGGCGCCGTCGCGGCGGGTGCAGAAGTGCTTGGCCACCAGCGTCCGGCACTGCTCGCAGCGCACGGTGCAGCACCAGTGGAACTTGCAGTTGCAGCTGGACACCACCTCCGTCCTGCGCTCCTCCACGCGGAGCCCGCACTCGGTGCAGAGCCGCCGGCAGCTCCTCTTCTCCCACTGCGAGAGGTTCTTGCCGGTCTGCAGGCACTCGCGGCCCTCGGTGCCGTGGTGGCCCAGGCTGGCGTTCTCGTGCAGTAGTCGGGGGAGTCCTCAAGGAAGACGAGATCTGTGGCGTGCACGTGGTGGAAGGCCTGTGCCGTGGCGCCGCGGCTGTCGGCGCTGTTGCCGGCCCTCACCCGCCGCTTGTCCATCTCTAGCTTGTGGGCTTGGTCGTATTTGATCTTCAGGTAGTTCCCGACCTCGCGGAACTCGGCGAGCTGGAGCCAGCAGGTCTGGATGCTGCAGCTGCCCGACACCCCGTGGCACTTGCAGGCTCGTTTCATCGTGTCTTTCACCGCCTCGGTGGGAGAGGTGGAGAAATTAGGAGCGATAGAGCATCGTCATTTAAACCTCAAAATCAGGCGCTTACAATTTGGGGACAAAGTGTCAAAAGTGGCTCATGCTCAACATGGCTTCATGTCCTTCCGAGACAGGAGCTGATGCTCTTATTTCAGCTTCTGCAAAACATCTGCGCCAGAGATAACAAGTGGGCACAAGCTATGGTCCCCAACCCTCGTGGGAGAATCCAGGCAGGGAAAAAGGTGCCTTTGTCGGGTCATGCCCTTCTCACGCTGCTCACCCGACTCATCACAGCATCAACCCAGTCATCCCTCTCAGCGGTTTCATTCAAAATGTGTGAAACTGCTTTGGAATAATCATACCCAACCTCTCTGCATCTCCTCCAGGCCAAGCACTTCACAGATTTTATCTGCCCATCTCCCTCTGGTATTTATAAGGTCCCAATCGCTGGTATCTATGTGAGATTAAGCCTGGACACACCCTATGAGATAGGTATGTTAAGTGTTGCTGTCCTTGTTTTTGCAGACAAGGTTTGGCAAGATGCTGAGAGCTTCCACAGCCCAGGCAGGAACAGGGCAGTCTGGCTGTCAGCTTGTGAGCTGGGCCAGCTCACACCTGGCTTCCCGGCCAAGGAGCTTGGAAATGCATATTGGAAGAGAGTAAGGAAGGTGGTTCTGGCTTTGTTTTGCAGACCAGACAAGCCCAGGTGAGTACAAACCCCATGCATTTCTGAGTAAGTGGTGTGTGCCAGCAGTTAACTGCATTGCACAGCAGCAGGAGCTGGAAGTGGGAACAACTCTGGCTGTGGTTCCCTGTGTTCAGGTGTCAGGCCAGATTCTGGCTGTGCTTTTTTCCCCCATCCAAACACTACAGGGCCTAGATTGTCACAGGGCACTGGAAACAGGAACCTGAGCAGCCTACCAGTCGCTCAGATTTTGTTTTCATTTTAGACATTATTATTATTTAGCAGAATTATTATCAGTCTGACTTACAAGTCTCCCGACTTCATTGTTGTGCAGGTTGATCAGCGCTCGGGTATCGTGTCCTGTTTCCAAGGCATCCACAAAGAGCTTGGAAACCTTCTCCCCAAACTCCACGTTGTCGCTGCATCCTCCCCAGACCCAGCCTCGGCCACCTGCAAGACAGGCACAGCCTGAGCACAGAACTGCCCCAAATTCTGCCCTGAAACCCGTGTGGGGATGGAGAGAGGGTGTCAGCCCGCCCGGGGACGCAGCTCACCCACACGGCCGTTCCTGGAGTCGTCACAGCCGCAGCTCTCGAAGTCCCCCAGGCTGCAGTTCCTGGTCAGGGTGTACATGACACCAGCTGAGCTGATGGCGTGTACGAAGGATGTTTCCCGGGTAGCTGGGGGAGAGGGGGGAAAGAAAGCCGTCACATGCAAGCACAGACATCAGCCCCGGATCATCAGGGATGAAGATCTCCCTGCTGCAAAGGGGCAAGAAGAAAATACCCCCCTCCAAGTCTGTGCAAAAGGCAAAGCACTACAGAAATTAAATGCTCATGAGTGGATATTTTCAGGCTTCAGCATCACGAGTTAACAGCAATTTGGCAGAATATTATGCAGATGTCCATGCAGGGCATGGAACTTCTTAGCAAGGGTAGGATCCTAAGGCAATGCTCTGGCCAGGGTGAGTTATTGCTCCTTTCACCTGGCACTCCTTCCCTGCCTGAGGGTATGATGTGCTTTGATCTTGCCTCCTGGGGAAAATCATCACTGATCCCTCTAACCTGTGCTAACAGCTGTCTGCTCCCACACTCCTGATCTAGTTCTTTGTGGCTCTCTGAACAGATCCAAATAAAGATGTTGCTCTGGGGAAGAGGAGATTCCTGCCTGTTGAAGTAGATAATATTTAAAAACATCTACAACTTTCTCACAAAAACAGCTTCTTAGTGCACATCTCTGGTTCCTCCCTTCCTGAGCTCTCCCCACTGGAAGCTCGGGTGTCTCTGACACTGCACTCCCCGAGGTGCTGCACTCAAAGTGACAGAAGCAAATCCATGGAGCAGCACTGCAGGGAGGACTGAGCTCTAGCCCAGCGTGGATAGGGATCCAGAGAGAGCCTGGGATCCCTAGGAAAATTTTAGTGCTAACTATGACACCGATTAATACAGACAGAGGAAAACCAGCTGCGTTTTTTGGGGACAGCAAAGCCCTTCTCCATCAGTCAATCCGATTGGCAGCCCCAGCTCTCTCCAGGGCACATCCCAGCCGGGGCAGGGATGCTGTGGAGGTGGAGGTGGAGGTGCACTCACCGCTGCGGAGCCGGTTGTGTGTGGAGAGCTGCAGGGCGCTCTCGGGGCAGTTCCAGCGCTCCCACCCGAACTGGAACTTGCACTCCTCCATCCCGCTGTGTGCCCCGGCTGCCACACTGCTGGAGTACGTCAGGTAAGCCTGGCACGGGAAACACCGGGGTTAAAATCCACCACTTTTCACCATTTATCAGTGAAAACAGACATAAACAGGTTGTGGGTCCTTTCCCTCTTTTACTTGTCAGGACTCGGAGCCGATATGCCCTGGGAAGCCTGGTTCCTTGGAAAAGCACTATTTCCCATTTGCAAAACAAAATCACTCTACTTAAATTCCTGACAGTCCGTGTGTTAATTACCTTAGGTCCTGTCATCAGGAAGTTATTCACGGACCTGAAACAAAGAAAAGAAAATGAATCACACAGCTTACCACAGGCTGAGGAGCATCCCTAAAAAAAATGCCCTTCCCGCTGAGTTGGACCCTACCATGCTGCTGTGTGGAGAATGGCACTGTAGAACCCCATGATGGAGAGGATGAGGAAGGTGCTTCTCTTCATGGCTGTCACAAGGAGCAGGCTTGGATCCCTTTGGCTGATCCGTAGCTCTCCGCACCACAGGTCTCCGAGCAAGCAGGGCCGCCTCGCTCCGCTCCTTCCCAAGGTGAGCTATCGGGGATGGAGGAAAGCTGCAGGAACCTCCAACCCTGATATTTATAAGGTGAAGTTGTGAATAGTCAAAACCCCCCATTCATTTGCTACCCAATGACTTAATGTGGTAAAAAAGCTCCCGCTCCAATGGGTGACAAGGAACCGCCTAAGGTTGCACTTCAAAAGGCGGCGCGGTGTCCCTGGGAGCGGGATGGTCTGAAGGAGAGCAAACTTCCCTAACAATGGGACACTTTTAACTCTCCTCCCTGCCACCAGCCATCCCTTTCTGCTAACCCCGAGTCCTCTTGCCTTCCCCTTTTCATCCTCTGCTGGCAGCAGAGGCTCTGTCCCTGTGTCCCTCCGAAACAACAAGCTGATGCATCGCTATAGTTTCCCTGCTATCCGCCTGCTCCCTCCTATGAGAACTCCCCGAGGGGTTTTAACAACCCTTCTGTAAAAATCTATAGGGGATAGACCTCCCAGGTCTCCTTGGCTCTCAGAGATGCGTTTAACGGTGGGGTTTTTTTCCCTTCTTGCCTCTTTATGATGAAAGTTCCCGCATTTCCATCCTGATAACAGCGAGCGTGGCTCGGGAGCGCTCGGAGATCTCTCTAATTTACGCGGCTGCAGCTTGGGAACACTGTGTGAATCACTTCTGTGGTTTTCTCCATGCTCCAACGCTGTAATTAGGGGAACAGTTTTCTGGGGTTGGCAATTTCCTTACGGTAAAAGCTGCAGCAGCAAAGGCACGGCCGCTGCTGCCGCTCCACAGGCAGGAGCTGCCCGTAGCCTGAGCGGAGTGAGGGGCCTCTGTCACTGCTGAGCCATCAGCTGTGCTCGGGAAGGGAAAATCCTCAGCAGAGGAAACCCAAAAAAGCCTTTTAATAGCTATGGCCGGTGTCATTAAGGGCTGTGAGGTGCTGTGATGCTGTGGGGAGATGGTGCTCATGGAAACTGCTGAGTCTGTTCTCCTGTGGGGAATGGTCCCACTGGGGGCTGGCTCACCCTAGGCAGGGATCCTGGCTGCTCCATGGGGCACTGTGGGTGCCTGGCCCCAAAGCAGTGCTGTCCTGTGCCAGCAGTGCCCACAGCCCCCTGGCTCCACCTGGCATTGCCCCATGGCACAGAGGCACAGCCTCTGCCTAGTGATGGCCTGAGCAGGGCAGAGGTGCTGCCTTCCTCCTTCTCTTCCTCCTCCTCCTCCTCCCAGCCCCTGCCTGACCTCTGGGCACACCCATCTCCCCGTGTTGATTGCTGACAGCGCAGGGGGACTGGTGAAGGGGCTGCAAAAGTGAGGTTCAAGGGAACGGGACCGCACTGCACATGGCACCGGTGGGGGTGCCCCACGAGCAGAAGGGGCCACACAGGGATGAACCCCATCCTCACAGGCAGCTGAGCAGCAGCAGCCAGTGGCACTGTGGCCGGGCAGGAGGCTGCAGCTCAAACACCTTTGTGAAGTACTTTGCTGTCTCGCCATGAAATGCAGCAGAGCAGAACCAGCGACCTGCTCTGGGCTTTGACACCTCGCAGTGCTGGTGTCTGAAGTGCAGGTCTATGGGCTCAGGTCCCGCTCCTGGGGCCCTGTCCTGCTGCCCATCCTCGAGCCAGGGGAGAGCCCTCTCCCTCCAGACCCTGCAGCAGGGAAACCTGGAGTCAGCTGGGCAAAGCCACAAACAACCCGTTTGCAACCAGAGGATTAAAATTGCAGATTGGTTGAAAAGCAGGGATGCAAAATACCTTCCAAGTGAGCACAAAGCTGGTGCAGCCCCGCCAGCATGGAAACCCCTCTGTGAGTCAGCATTTTAATCGTTACCATCCCGAACAGATCCTACTCGTTAGAGCTGTCAAAGGACAATTACTGGGAATGAAGTGTTTCCCATGTATCGGGGAAGCTCATTGATTAAAGCCCATGCACAGGGCTTGGAAATCTGCTGTGCATTTTCTCTGTGCACGCAAAGGTAATTTTGGGGTTTGTGCCTGGCTGTCCCTGAGGGCACACTGATGTTTTGGTTTGTTTTTTTCCCTTGTGTGAGAGAGCTTGTGCAGCTAAAACAACGTTGGCGTGTCTGCTCTGTGAGTTCACACATGATATTCCTGTCACATGCCAGGAGAAGAGCAGCGTCCCTGGGCGTGAGCAGCCGCTGGCAGGACCCCGCAGCTCTTGGGCTGTTAAAAATGTCCTTTCCAATTAAAGTCACGGGGATCGCAAAAGTCGCTCATAACGTTGTCACTTGCACTGGTTGTCAGCAAACAAAGCAGCGTGCTGGGACAAGCCCTCCCTGCCCCTGCCGCGGGTTTTTTTCCACGCTCACAGCTCAGCCCTGGCGAGAGCAGGAGGCAGCACTTCTGCAGGTCATCCAGCAGGGATTGCAGTGATCCCAGTCAGATTGCTGCTGGACTTCCCCACCTCAGGCAAAAGCAGACTTTGGTCTTGCTGTGATACTCAATTTTGCACTTACAGAGTGCTTCGTGAAACCTCCTTGCTGTAAAGGAGATTAAATACACTCATCTCTGTTTGCAGTTGGGTAAACTGAGGCACAGAGGTGGGTGGTCTTTTTGACCTCAGTGGCAGAGCTGTTCAGAAGCTGATTTTGGTGCTTTCACTCTGTAAGTCACCAGCCAGGAGCTGCAGGGCTGGATGCTCCCCCCTGACCCATGGGAACAGCTCCCTGGTCACACCCCGGGTCACCTGAGCCACAGGTCCCATCTGGGAGGTGATGCTGAAGGTAGTGGTGATGCTGAAGGTAGTGTTGATGCTGAAAATGGTTTCTCTTTGGTTTCCCTGCTATTGGTTTGGTTTTGGATGGGGGAAGAAAAAAGCCTGAAAGGAAAACTGTGTTGAATTTACCTGGTTATGCAGAAAATGCTCTGTCAGTCTTTGTGGGCAGCCTGGACCCCACAGTGAGCTGTCAGCGTGGAGGCACCACCAGAGCCTCCTGTGCTGCTGAGGGGCAGGCTGTTTGGAAAAGCAGTGTTCTGAATGTCAGCCCCTTGGCTTTACTGACAAAATCTTGATGCTTTGTTTCTTGTCTTCTTGCTACGTGACCAAACAGCCAGTGCTTTTCACGGGACGATCAAAATCCTAAAGCATTTTGCTGTCTGTCCTGAGCAAAGAAACAACATTAGTACATACAGGCCCCACACACCCACAGAACCCTCTTCCCATCACAGTGTGGGTTTTAAGGGAAGGCAGACGTGAGATAAATCAGTTTTTCAGGGTGGCAGGTCCCACAGGGGTGGGGCCTTGGCTTGTCAGGGCAGCGAGCCCCGTGGCTGTGGACAACGGGAACACAAAGCACAGGCCACTTGCTAAATTGCCCTGGGCAGGTGACACATTCAGAGCCCTGGCGTCAAATCCTGCATTGCTGCCCTCCTTACAATAGAAACCCACCTGGGTAATTAAAAAGCCACCCCCTGGCTGGCGAGGTGGAGGATGTTTTATGGGGCTCTCCCACCCCGCTCTCCCCGGGCAGCCCCTGAGCCCCCGGCGGTGATGCCAGTGCCCTGGATGTGTCCCTGAGCTGCACGAGGCTGCACCAGGGAGCACAGCAGCCGTGGGGCAGCCCTCCTGCACACCCAGCTCTTCCAGGGATCTTTATTTTTACTCTTCTCAACGTTCCTGTATTGGGGGAAATACGTCCCCACTGTTCTGCCAGTGGCAGGGTCCCTCGTGGGCTGTGGCAGTTCCCACTGGGAGCAAACACTGGCAGGACCAGAGCCCTGGACCTGGCAGTGCTGGTGGGAGTTTTGCCTGCATAATGAATATGTTTTGATTAATGAATGGTAATTGGGGATGGAGGTGAAACTGGAATCAGGTGTTGTGCCACACCTACCCCACGGGCTTAGTGCTCTTCATGCCTGTGTTGGCACAGTTAGAAGTGGCCTGATATTCACTGAAAACAAGGTTAAAACCACCCAACAGAACCAGCTCGGGGGGTGCTTTCCCAGTGAAAAATTACCCTCTGGAGTTCCTGTCTCCTGCAGCCCCTCATCCCCCTCAGCTGCACCAGGGCATCCAGGTTTTCCATCTTACTTATAATCCTGACTCCCAGCACAACCCCACCTCCAGTGTGCTGGGATGAGCAGTTAACTTCATCAGAGGTCATGAGTGAGCAAGTCCAAGGTAAGAGCCTCTGCTGCTGAGGGAAACACATCCTGGAATAGGATACAGGGCCATTGGGATGCCAGAATCCAGGACCACAAGAGTTGTACCCTTTGGGCTTTACATCCTTTCGTTTCGGGAAGGAAAAAAAATCAGTGTTTGGAGCCAAATTCTGATCTTTCCATCCACAAGCTGGGCGGGGACGTAGATGCTTCCCAGCAAAGGCTGTCGAGGTGATTTGGGAATGTCCTACTGGGGGTTGTAGAAATGGCCCTGTAGCATTGTGGAGCTCTCAGGAGCTCTCTGTGTGCACAGGATGTCGGGTTTAGGCTAGAAATGAGGAGATGGAGCAAATGAGGGAGGAAAACATTCTTTTATTCCATCAAGAAGAGAAAGGGTGAGGGGCTCAAGGGGTGGATTCAAACTGGCTGTGGGCTCATGGTGTGCCAGGAGTGAAGCAGGTGGGAAGGATGGGCTGGGAGATGGATCAGGGCCCCTCCAGCACCACTGACTGGGGGGCAGGTGCTGGAGGGGAGATGTTCACCCTGTGAGCAGCAGTGCCCACATCCCTTGGGAAAGCTCTTGGGAGGACCTGGCTGCCCAGTCAGCCCCGGAGAGGCAGCTCCATGACCTGATCAGCCTCACCTCACCTGCCTCCTTTAGGTGTGTCCCCCAAAACCTACAGGGCTGTTTACACAGCAGCGTTTTGAAGCAGGGAGAAGTGGTTTGTTTTTCTCACCTTTAAAGGAAGTGTCATGCAAACGGTGTTAGTGCAGCAGATAAATGACTGCCTGGGCATCTGCATGGG